TTCCAGCACGGAGTTACATCGTAATTCAAAAACACAGACGGTGGTGGCTCAAGAACGCAACGCGAACCAAAAAGCTAATGGCGAGTAGCTCAGACATGGCGTTCACATCAAGATCATCACGGTCGGCATTTTCAGCCACTCAGCGTCACACATTCAGCTTTAAACATGCGTTAAACACAAGTCTGCTCACTTACGTAATTTGGTGAAGCACATTTTGACAGTTTGCACGTCATAAGAACCTGCGTCTACATTGGTACTGTGAAATGTTGAAAATTAAAGCCAAGAAATTCCAACTTCTTGTTTTTGCTGTTAATTTCTATTGCACGAGAAGAAAAAGGAAAGAGAGGAAAGGCAGGCATGTTAAACCAGTTTAGCATAATCACAATTAGCATGAGATACCGGAACTTTCTTGGTAGCTCAATCAATATGATGCTTGGCGGCTGCGAACGAGAGTGCTGGCTTGATTTCCGAATGCATAGGTTGAATTGCAACGATAGCTGAACACGAGAAAGCTTATTTGGCGTATCTCATGTGAACGCTAAAGAAGCCACAAGTGAGTTGTCCTGTCCCACTTGTAATAAATCTTGCTAACACATTTGTGCGAAGGTGCGAGAGAATACACCGAACCACTAAGCATAGCCTTCATGGATTACGAGAAGGCATTTAATTCAGTAAATATATATAAGCAGGTATGCATACACTGCGAAATAAGAGTGCCGACGAAGCATATACAAGCATCCTGGAAAAAATCTACAGAGGATCAACCACCAGCATAGTGATCTATGAACAAAGCGACAGAATAGCGATACAGAAGGGTGCAAGACAAGGGGATATGATATCCCCAATTCTATTTACCGCGTGCTTACAGGAGGTTATCAGAGGCCTAGAATGGGGAGAATTAGGGACGAAAGTTAATGTAGAGCACCTTAATAACCTGCGCTTCGCTGACGACATTTCATTGCTGAGTAACTCAAGGGACAAATTGCAATTCATGAATTGCATTACATGACGCACCAACTATAGCCCGAACCTCCACGCGTCAATGTGTCATGTAGTCATGGTAAATACATTAAGAGTACGCACCACGAAAACGGGGCGAATACCACTGAATTGTCACCGGTCCGTACTATGCGTGTTATGAGTTAAAAATTCGTCGTTGCTGCCTATAACATTATGTTTGGCTCAGCAGCGGTGTCTGAATGCCCGGCGGCAAAATTTGCGAAGACACTCAAGTTTGCTCACTAGGGAGTTTGTCATTCATCATCATCATCATCATCATCAGCCTGACTACGTCCACTGCAGGACAAAGGCCTCTCCCATGTTCCGCCAGTTAACCCGGTCCTGTGCTTGCTGCTGCCAATTTATACCCGCAAACTTCTTAATCTCATCTGCCCACCTAATCTTCTGTCTCCCCCTAACCCGCTTCCCTTCTCTGGGAATCCAGTCAGTTACCCTTAATGACCAGCGGTTATCCTGTCTACGCGCTACATGCCCTGCCCATGTCCATTTCTTCTTCTTGATTTCAGCTATGATATCCTTAACCCCCGTTTGTTCCCTAATCCATTCTGCTCTCTTCTTGTCTCTTAAGGTTACACCTACCATTTTTCTTTCCATTGCTCGCTGCGTCGTCCTCAATTTAAGCTGAACCCTCTTTGTAAGTCTCCAGGTTTCTGCTCCGTAGCTAAGTACCGGCAAGATACAGCTGTTATATACCTTCCTCTTGAGGGATAGTGGCAATCTACCTGTCATAATTTGAGAGTGCTTGCCGAATGTGCTCCACCCCATTCTTATTCTTCTAGTTACTTCAATCTCGTGGTTCGGCTCTGCGGTTATTACCTGCCCTAAGTAGACATAGTCTTTTACAACTTCAAGTGCACTATTACCTATCTCGAAGCGCTGCTCCTTACCGAGGTTGTTGTACATTACTTTCGTTTTCTGCAGATTAATTTTAAGACCCACCTTTCTGCTCTCCTTGTCTAACTCCGTAATCATGAGTTGCAATTCGTCCCCTGAGTTACTCAGCAATGCAATGTCATCGGCGAAGCGCAGGTTACTAAGGTATTCTCCATTGATTCTTATCCCTAACTGTTCCCATTCTAGGCTTCTGAAAACCTCCTGTAAGCACGCGGTAAATAGCATTGAGGAAATGTGTCCCCCTGCCTTACACCCTTCTTGATTGGTATTCTGTTGCTTTCTTTATGAAGCACTATGGTAGCAGTTGATTTCCCTGTAGATTTCTTCCAGAATGTTTATATATACTTCATCCACGCCCTGATTCCGCAGTGTTTGCATGACGGCTGATATTCTACTGAATCAAACGCCTTCTCGTAATCTATGAAGGCTATGTATAGTGGTTGGTTATACTCTGAGCATTTCTCTATTACCTGATTGATAGTATGAATGTGGTCAATTGTTGAGTAGCCTGTTCGAAATCCTGCTTGTTCCTTTGGTTGATTGAATTCTAATGTTTTCTTTATTCTGTTAGCAATTACCTTTGTAAATAGCTTGTATACTACAGAGAGCAAGCTGATCGGCCTGTAATTCTTCAAGTCCTTGTCATCTCCTTTCTTATGTATTAGGATTATGTTAGCGTTCTTCAAGACTCTGGTACTCTTCCCGTCAGGAGACTCCTCGTAAACAGGGTGGCTAGTTTTTCTAACACAATCTGTCCTCCATCTTTCAGCAGATCTGATGTTACCTGATCCTCACCAGCAGCTTTGCCTCTTTGCATGCTCTCCAAAGCTTTTCTGACTTCTTCTATCATTACTGGTGGGGTGTAATCTGGGTTACTGCTAGTTCTTATAGTATGAAGGTCGTGGTTGTCTCGGCTACTGTACAGATCTCTGTAAAACTCCTCCGCTATTCTAACTATCCTATCCATATTGGTAGTTATTTTGCCTTCTTTGTCCCTTAGTGCATACATCCGGCTTTTGCCTATCCCAAGTTTTCTGTTCAATGCTTTGACACTTCCTCCGTTTTTCAGAGCGTGTTCAATTCTCTCCATGTTATACCTTCTTACATCGCATACCTTACGTCTATTAATCAATTTCGAAAGCTCTGCCAGTTCTATTTTGTCTGTTGTACTTGACGCTTTCATAATTTGACGCTTCTTAATTAGGTTCTTCGTTTCCTGGGAAAGCTTGCCAGTGTCCTGTCTTATACCCTGCCTCCAACTTCCACTGCACACTCCGTAATGATACTCGTCAGATTATCATTCATTGTATCTACGCTAAGGTTGGTTTCCTCACTAAGAGCCGAGTACCTGTTCTGCAGCGACACTCTGAATTCCTGTACTTTCCCTCTCAGTGCTAGCTGATTGATTGGCTTCTTGCGTATCAGTTTCTGTCGTTCCTTCTTCAAGTCTAGGCGAATTCGAGAGCGTACCATTCTATGGTCACTGCATCGTACCTTGCCAATCACTTCCACATCCTGCACGATTCCAGGGTGTGCACTCATTATAAAGTCTATTTCGTTCTTATTTTCGCCATTAGGGCTCCTCCATGTCCACTTGCGGTTTTCTCGTTTTCGGTAGGGAGTTTGTCATTAGGGAGTTTTAGAATAGCGCACCGCGAGCCCTTGCGGTGCGGTCGCTGCCACTGCGCATGCGTCGTAACGCGAGTCGGCGTTCGCGTTCGCGGACCGCACGCAGAAAATTCGAAATTGCGTGCGGTGATGACGGCCCGCATGTGGCCTGCAAGTGCTGGATTCGAGGCTACGGTGTCGCTGCGATCGTGCAGTTGCGGTTTGCAGCAGGGCAAACGCTATTCTAAAGCTCATTTGGCACCCGCAACGCCCGCAACGCCCGCAACGCCCGCAACGCCCGCAACGCCCACAGCGCTTACAAACGTCGTTCTAAGACTCCGTATTTACTTGAAATGCAACTTCTTGAAGCAACACCGGCGAAGTTATGGGGCGTTAGGGTACCGGTGGAGAGTAAAGCCCTAAAGAGTAAAGATTTTGTTGCGGTAAACATCGGCGCATACTGCATGTTTACCCCTCTTCAAGTTTCAAGTTAGTGGGGCTGAAACAAGCTTGCTTTGTCATTGCGTAGTGCATCCTCTGAACTTTATTTTCTTTAGGTGAAGGTCAAGATTAGATAAACACTAAACAGACGTAACTATGACAAATTTATGTTTCATGGAAGAGATTACTCGCACCAGGTGTTCGTATAAAAACTTCCCGCGAAAAAGTGCGTGGTAATGTCGGGGCACCCTCCCCTTCCAATCGTAATTCCTGCCTCCGATCAATTGATTGATTGATATGTGGGGTGTAACGGCCCAAAACCACCATATTATTATGAGAGACGCCGTAGTGAAGGGCTCCGGAAATGTCGACCACCTGGGGTTCTTCAACGTGCACCCAAATCTGAGCCTGCATCCGATCAAGAAATACCGAGCTGACCTATGGACGCTAGTGCGTTGAAGTATGTGTGAGTAGACGTGAGTGTAACGTGAGCCGATATAAGGTTGACAGTAATGCTGGAGTTGAGAAGATAGGAGTGGAGGAGAAAAAAGTATCGGGGGCTCTAGGTTGCAGTGTGAGGGGCCACGCTAACAAGTGTCTTCTCGTAAAAAAAACACGATACAAAGTAAATGTTATTGCCAAGAATCGGTTAGGCAGTGCACGAATTGTTTCACAAGCGATTGTCATAAATATACAGCGTTTACGTCCAACAATATTTATTTAAAATTTAAAAAGCAGTGGCCGGATAGACAGCTTACTGCGATAACTATGATCCTCGATCAAAACTTGTTTTTATTAAGCAGACAAGACTTAGCATAATTTTTATTTATTCCTCTAGACGGTGCAATTGTATGTGCCGGTATACGATACTTCCGCAAGCTGGCGCAAGCGGATAAAAATAATGACAACAAAAGAATGAAAAGGTGGTATGAACGCGCATCGCAACCGCGGTGCTCTCTGATTGGCTAAAACCAAGGTTACGTGAACTTCAAAAAACAAAAGCGCGCAAAATTCACTCAGTTTTACCCAGGAAACTAGCAGCACATGCGCCGGAGTTGCTGCCGCATCATTTATTACAAGACCTCAGAGCGGAGAGAGATGTGGTGGCGATAAAACTAACCCATTGAACACACGTTCTGTCATTCGCTTAAAAGGGGAACGTAGAGGTGCGCTTTAATTGCGTTTTAAGTGCTGCAGTGAAAATGAAGTCTCGCTTTCTGAACAGGGTGAGTTAACGACATTTCCCAATAACCGCTTTTTAGTGATAGGTATTGTTACGTAAATAAGTTTGTTATACGCTGGATGCGATGTAGAAAACCATTCAAAGGAGCCAAATAGCAAAATTGAAGTTCTTTAGTTTGTAGCAACAGCCTCTTTTTGGTAATACTTTTAGACTTAAGTTTGTATTGTTTTTCGTGGCTTTTAAGGACCATTTCACGCTTACCAATTAGATACATAGTCCAATAATGTGGTTTCTAACGTGTTTATCACAGCACATACACCTGATGTTTTAAGTGCTTTGAGTTGGTATTGACGGGTAATTTAGAGGTAAAAACATTTTCCTTCCTTTCTTAAAGTTACAGTGACCTTGCTTTATTTAGTGTCATTGCGTTCCAAAAAGAAGATGCAGTGCCAAAGAGAAGTCAAGTTCATTTGGCCAAGTATATCTTTCAGTATATATAGTAGTTGTCACATCATAATTTTTGTGATTATATTACGCGAATTTTACAGAGAATAATGAGGTATCATCAACCTTTTTTCAATTGTTCTGACAATCTCAATTTCTGAACACTGTTTTTTGAATGAAAACGATGTCTTTTTCTGTGTGCTCAGTCTACATTAACAAAGTTTTAGAGTGAAAGAAAATCTTTCGAGACTAAAGATAGCGTCTTTCATTGATATTGGTGTATTAACGAGAGATAGCGTCCACAATTTAGTGGATATTGAAGTGAAAGTAAGTTGAGGCAGTCGAGAAAGAGCAATCGTAATTTATTACATTGGCCTCTTTTTATTCATTTACCTATTTACAAATACTACAGGCCCTACTCTGACCAAAGCAGGAGTAGGATCATCATTTAAACATAGACAATACTGACAAGAGTAATTAGAATTGTTGCTAACATATGTCCTAAAGTAAATGTAGTGTACAACAAGCAAAGAAAAAAATAAATGTGCTTTCGCAAGTCATACAGACAGTAATGTAACACTGATAAATCATACCGATAAAACAATTCAACACATCAGATAAGTTACAAAGGAACGCAGGAATTAACTTCTTACATTGCTGCACATAAACTTAATTTTACATGTTCAAGTAAAGATTATTTGAAAAATGAACAAATGTTTCTTTTGTATTAGCGTTAGCGACTTCTCGTAATTTATTACATAGTGATACTTGCATTTCATAGTAATACTGAGTACGAAAAATCATAATTATGTAGTACCATGGTGTCGGGGTTAAGTGAAACACACCCTTGTGTTCTTGTTTCCTCCCGTACGCGTAAATTCCGCATGATATAGGCGTGGCCTAATTTGAGGCATGAAATATGATCCCCATGCAGTGGCACGTGACAGTGCTGTCAACTTTTCACAAGCAATCTCTACTCTTTTTCTTGACTTTTTGTTCACGTTTCTTTTACCAACCACTGAAATTGAAGTTAATCGTCTTCTATTTTGTAGTTGTATCTCACGAGTTTAGTTATCACTAACGTCTCTCAAACGCCTCTTTCTGTGTTCTCATTACTGTAGACAGACCGATCAGAAGTAAATGAATACGTCTACTACCATTATAAATATTTGTGACTGACCGGAGAAGCATAGAGGGTGACGTTTAGCCCAAAATAAACGGCTTGTGCTGTAGTTCACGCAGGAAAGTAGTTGCAATGAGCGAGTTGTGGTCGTACTAATGATCCATGTGGGTACAAAAAATTGAGAGGCTGCACCATTTCTGGAATTTGGCGCCTTTCAACTCATCGCCTTCGCACGCATTGTGTCTTTCTGTTGTTCAGTGGTTTTTGTAGCAAGCTTTATTTATGTGGAACCGATCGAAAACGTTAGATTGTGTGATAATTATCGCTATGATATATTTATTTATTTCCTCATTTACTTGTAATGAAAGAGGGCTGAATAACTAATCGTGGAAAGAGAAGCAGAGAAAATAATATGGTAAAACTGCGTAAAACAATGACATTAAAAAGTGAATTAAGTGGTGGGTAATATCGCATATTCCAGATTTTATTAAGGCATGAACATGTAAGCTCAAAGCACAAATGATTATCCGGTAATATTTTTGCAGATCTTGCCGCTGCGGCCATCAGCATGGTTCCAGTGTCGCCTCAAGATTGTTGCCAGTGCAACGCTACTAACACTTCTTGCCTATTTCTTTCTACGCCTCGTCGCACCTGTGATTAGTGCCATCTTTGCAGAAACGCCTCTCAGGTGGTTCCATGACCCGAACATCGCCAAACAAAGCATACCGACCGAAAGGTTGCATAACAAGCCACATCGCTATCTTATAAATCCTCAGGGCATATGCCCGATAGGTCAACCAATAGACTACCTCTTCATGGTCTATTCGGCACCGGAGTACGTCGAAGCTCGAAGCGTTATTCGACGAACCTGGGCAAGCGACGCCAAGAGGTACTCTGGAAACAAAGTACTCTTTCTCTTTGGCAAGCCCAGTAACGACAGGTTACAAAGTGTCCTGGAGTTTGAGTCCCAGCAGTACGGAGACATCGTGCAAGAGAGCTTTATGGACACGTACCGCAACCTAACCCTGAAGACTGTAATGATGCTTCGATGGGCATCGCAGAATTGCCCTCAAGCCCGCTTCGTGGTCAAAATTGACGATGACTGCTTTCCTAACCTGGCCAACTTTTACCGTGCCATGCATGGTCAAGCGGAAGACACAATCTACGGTGAACTGAGGCATCGTGACCGACCCTACCGCGAGATCGGACACAAGTGGTACCTTTCGCCCGAGGAGTTTCCCAGGGACGTGTTTCCCGATTACATCACGGGAGGCATGTACGTCGTAGGTGGCCGTGTCGTGAATCTCCTGTACAGGGCCACGGGACAGGTTCCATTCTTCCGCGTCGAGGACATCTATCTGACCGGCATGTGCGCTGAAAGAGCAGGCATTACGAGGGTTAACTTGGAGGGAACGTACAACTTGAAGCTGTCCACTCTGTGCGAATACAAGAAGGCCATCTACGGTCACCACGTGACACCCGTAGAAATGAACGAAGTGTGGCACGCCATGAAGCGCCTTGAATACAAGTGTCGTCGACTGTTATTCAGCGTTCACTTATGCTACTGCCGGCCCGTAGATACATCAGCTGGTTTAGTAATCGAAACGCCAGTATTCTGAACTTCGCTTACATTTTTTGTAATTAAACAAGGTAATTTTTAATTCACCGTCACAAACTGTGTAGAACTTAAGAATAGAACAGCATTTCGGTGAGTGTGATCATCGTCAAGTCAACGTGGGAATGAGCGCTTTTACTGTCTTAGTCTGCTTTCCGTACTGACGTGGCTTTTTTTCTGCGCACTCATCGTGGAATACGAACTCGCTCAGGCAGCTACCTTGTATTTACAAAATGCAGCTATAGAGCGAATGTGTGACGTTTGTATCTCACTTTATTTCAAGATGGCGCTTGCATAAGCTCTCTGAATAACTTATTTGTTGCGGTTGTGTTCTTTTCCAGGCACTTAGAAAATTTATTGAAGGAATGAGAATAATGTAATACAAAAACGAGATGTTCAAATAAACTCTGTTTTTCATATATCTCGTTTCGCTTCGCGGGTACAGTGGTCAACTAGACCTGCTAGGTCTTCAATAGGTTTAGATGGAAGTACTATACTCGACCTACCCATTGCTGCCGGTTATATAAGTTTAGGACGAACAGGCGCCAGTAGTTTGTTATAAAGATGGTTTGGGGGGGAGGGGGGGCATGCCTGCGAAAGACGAAAGAAGAGCACGCCTATATACAAAGTGTAACTACAAAAGGCAAAGCAAGCTTCACAGCCTAACAAAGCTATGGCTAGGTTGGCCAACCTAATCGTGGGGTGGTGAAATAATAAATGGGATAGACAAGGAGCAAGTTATTTTGCTGAGCTGTGTACGTGCCACACAGAATATGAGTGACATCAGCACTTTATCAGTAACAAACATCGGTCCTTTCCGCTTGAAAAGAAAAGTGCGCCTGCAGGAATTCAGGAGCCATTTAATTACTGCTGTTGAGCATAACAACACACGAAAAGTATGGTATACGCGTTTAGGCACTGCGATCTATACTAGGAAAATCACCGTTAAATTCGTCATATAGTTCGACTGCTAAACCACGATTTGATTAAGAAGCACGCCATGGTGAAAGTATTTAAACATTTCGACCATCTGGTGTTCCTCAAGAAGAACGGCTATTTGGGCTATTAGTTGGTTAAATTCTACTGTAATCAAGGTTGCAGTGCAAGCACGAAAGTGCTAGAAGAGAAGTGAACGGAAGGCACACACGATTCAGCGCTCGTGTTGTCGTCTGTGCCTTCCGTTTTTCGCCTTCCGTTCACTTTCCTTCTAGCGCTTTTGTGCTTGCGCTGCCACCCTTGCATTCTTCAACGTGCATTGAGATCGGAAAACGCGCAAGACTGCCTCCAGCAAAGTCCGACCACTGCGGCATAAATCAGACCCGCGACTTTTGAGTGAGCGGTCGAGCGCCGCAACAACTGCACCTCCGTGGCGGACAGAGCTCCCCATGTTCATCATTGATTCAAACATCTGCCCGTTTGTTGGACATAAGGCTTCCTGCCGCTGAAATGAACCTCGAAGGCTATCGACCCTACCACACAACCACCCCATCCCTAGTATCCTTTCTCGTACGCGCTCGCTTCTCAATACTTGTGGCACGAGGACATAGTTGGCTTAGTTTGTTGGGGACTGAAGAAAGACAGCACGGACCTTGTGTTTGGCTACGAGCTCATCTAGATGGTTGCTGATTTTGTGCATGGACGGCACAACATCAAGATTAGTGACGTCCCTTCTATTAACTTCAATGTCGACAATCTTTATATAGTGTATCAGTGAATACATTCACTGATTGATTAATAGGAGTAAGGTATGCGATATAAGGTATAACATGGAGAGAATTGAACACGCTGTGAAAAACGGAGGAAGAGTCAAATCAGTCAAGAGGAAGCTTGGGATAGGCAAAAATCAGATGTATGCACTAAGGGACAAAGAAGGCAAAATAACTACCTATATGGATAGGATAGTTAAAATGGAGGAGCAGTTTTACAGAGATCTGTACAGTAGCCGGGACAACCACGACCTTAATACTATAATAACTAGCAGTAACCCAGACGACACCCCAGCAGTAATCATAGAAGAAGTCAGAAAAGCTTTGGAGAGCATGCAAAGAGGCAAAGCTGCTGGTGAGGATCAGGTAACATCAGATCTGCTGAAAGATGGAGGACAGATTGTGTTAGAAAAACTTGCCACCCTGTTTACGAGGTGTCTCCTGACGGGAAGAGTACCAGAGTCTTGGAAGAAGGCTAGCATAATCTTAATACATAAGAAAGGATATGGCAAGGAGTTGAAGAATTACAGGCCGATCTGCTTGCTCTCTGTAGTATACAAGCTATTTACAAAGATAATTGCTAACAGAGTAAAGAAAACATTAGAATTCAATCAGCCAAAGGAACAAGCAGAATTTCGAACAGGCTACTCAACAATCGACCACATTCATACTATCAATCAAGTTATAGAGAAATGCTCAGAATATAACCAACCACTATAGCCTTCATAGATTACGAGAAGGCGTTTGATTCAGTAGAAACATCAGTCATCATGCAGACACGGCGGAATCAGGGCGTCTATGAAGTATATAAACATCCTTGGAGAAATCTACAGGGGATCAACTGCTACCATAGTGCTTCATAAAGAAAGCAACAGAATACCAATCAAGAAGGGTGTAAGGCAGGGGGACAGAATCTCCCCATATCTATTTACCGCATGCTTACAGGCGGTTTTCGAAAGCCTAGAATGGGAACAGTTAGGGATAAGAGTTCATGGAGAGTACTTAAGTAACCTGCGCTTCGCCGATGACATTGCATTGCTGAGTAACTCAGGGGACGAATTGCAACTCATGATTACGGTGTTAGACAAAGAGAGCAGAAAGGTGGGCCTTAAAATTATTCTTCAGAAAACGAAAGTAATTTACAACAACCTCGGAAAAGAGCAGCGCTTTGAGATAGGTAATAGTGCACTTCAAGTTGTAAAAGATTATGTCAACTTAGGGCAGGTAATAACCGCGGAGCCGAACCACGAGATTGAAGGGACTAGAAGAATAAGAATGGGGTGGAGCACATCTGGCAAGGACTCTCAAATTATGACAGGTATATTGCCACTATCCCTCAAAAGGAAGGTATATAACAGATGTATCTTGCCGGTACTTAGCTACGGAACAGAAACCTGGAGACTTACAAAGAGGGTTCAGGTTAAATTGAGGACGACGCAGCGAGCAATGGAAAGAAAAATGGTAGGTGTAACCTTAAGAGACAAGAAGAGAGCAGAGTGGATTAGGGAACAAACGGGGGTTAAGGATATCATAGTTGAAATAAAGAAGAGGAAATGGGCATGAGCCGGGCATGTAGCGCTTAGACAGGATAACCGCTGGTCATTAAGGGTAACTAACTGGATTCCCAGAGAAGGCAAGCGGGTTAGGTAGAGACAGAAGATTAGGTGGGCAGATGAGATTAAGAAGTTTGCGGGTATAAATTGGCAGCAGCAAGCACAGTACCGGGTTAAATGGCGGAACATGGGAGAGGCCTTTGTCCTGCAGTGGAAGTAGTCAGGCTGATGATGATGATGAACACATTCAACTACTGCAGGGACGACCTGCTAACTGGTGTCATCTTTTAAAAGCATAGTGATTTGGTGGGAAGACTTGCCTGCATCATGTCAGCACATGGCTCCCACAGCGCTAGCAAGACACGTAGTAAAGTCATACCACGTGACAAAGCCTACCCTATGAGTTGCCGAATCGTGCGATAGCTGTTCGGTCATAACATGTGGAGGCAAAGCCCACTGGTTTAAGTAAAAACGCGAGGTTCATATCAGGTTAATAACTGGCAATTAAAAATTAAACGTCATCCCAATTTACATCGTCTACAATCAACTGAAGCTATATCGATGGCACTCCAAAAATATATAGGACAGTCCCGTCCTAAATAGTTTAAAAAGTTAATCATGAATTTTTCTTAACAATCTAAAAACAAGAGGTGAGATGTCAAAATGCTGCGGTAATTTTTTTAACAGCTGACATGTGCTCATCAAACTTGGGGCATATCTCTTCTGCAGAGTAAGGGCAAGAAAGTTTGCAAAATTGTTGGGCAGATAAAACTCCAACAGGGGCATAAAGTTGCTGTATGTCCAGCTTTACTTACACAGACTGCTCCATCGTTAATATAGAAATGTATTCCAAGACTGTTTTGAAGAGTTTAAAATGAAAAAAAAAACGCAGTCAAGTAGGTTCTTTATGTCCCAGATGTGCTTGTCGGACGCAAACATGTTACAGCGTTGACATATCTTCGACATTGCGAAAACGTCTTGTGCTGCGTGTGGGCAAAAATTGCGACATCTCCCATCTTGTGCGTGCGTGTATGTGGGCGTTCGTGCACGTGTGCGTGCACATGTGTGTATGTGGGCGTGTGTTTGTGTATGTATGTGCATGTGAGATGTGCGGGCTTGCGTTCGTCCTATTGCTTGTTCATCTCGGCTGTGCCCCGATCAGCCACGTTCAGAAAACCATTAATTGTCTAAAAAAAAAAAACTTCACAGTATGCTGATCTACTATCATGCTTTGGCTACAGAGTAGGTCATGGTTTTGAATATAATTTGGAAAAGGTTGGCACCCATCGCATCTCAGGCTTCAACGCAGACTTACGGTGCACGCTGAAAAGCACCGTGTGAGAGCGCACAGAGGGCGTCTAAGCCTATGCATGCAGTCTGTATAGTTGGTTTTTCATTGCAGGTTTTACATGCGCCTCTTTCCTGTCAACTCCTTTCTTACACTTTTCGTACGTGGCGCTATAGTCAAAAACCTGTAATAAAAATCCATCTATCCTGACGCCATTGTTCGGCGTCTTAGATTTGGATGCGTGTTAAGGAACCCCAGGTAGTCGAAATTTCCGCAGCCCTCTACTACGGCATCTCTAATAATCATGTCATGGTTTTCGGATGTTAAATTCTAGATATTATTGGGGGTGTCATTACGCCCCGTGTTTAAAACTACAAGATTTTTATCACTTGATATGCGTAACAAGAAATTTCAACATAGGTATGAATTTGGAGCGATAGAAACTTCATTCTCGGTAAATATTAGGTTAAGGGTAACCGATATGCAAATGCCTTACAATCGTTCAACAATGCGGGGTTTAGGCATTATCGGGCCTGCACCTCCATCGGTGCCCCGGATTCTTTACCACTACTGATAACGCACGTACAAGCAGCTGCAGAGAACTGCTGATACGCGTACCTATTATGTTTCCAACTACGCGTACACTCTACTTCCCGCGGGGACACTGTTCAGGCACCTGGCACTGACAGTCCCGTACAGCCACGTTGCAGCAATTGTACTTTTTTCCTTCATTTTTCTTTTTCTATTGTGTAGATGTGGAGTTGCGATTGCTTTCGTATCTGACGTGTTGTTCAGGCCCACAAGACTACACAACGCTTGCAGACTTAATCGTTTACACTAAAAATTATTCGACGCACTTGAGTGGCCTAGTC